GCTATGAAAACGGGCCTTAACTAATATCCTGTTATAAATTATAAGTTGTAAGTTCCATCTTAACTTTTTAGTACTCCATTATTTTGATATTAAATTTCCTTCTTGAATGGCTTGGTAAGAAATTTATTCAACAGACTTTCTAATGTATTCAAAAGAAAAGAATAATTTTAAACTTTGAAATCACTTATAGAAAGAGTGCCAAAATTATCCCACTTTGTTGAACTGTCTGAAAACATGTGAAAATTTTCCTCAGTTCGGCCTAAATAAGTGCCAAATTTAATTAGTTTAAGTTAAAAGATAATCTCTATGAATTATCTAAGTGATTAGACCATGAGCGAATATAATTTTAAGAATAGAAAATAGGCATAGGAGTAAATTATTCTGGTATATAATTCGGGTGTTAAATTTTGCCGTCATTCCAATTTCTCCGATTAACTACAACCCTCTTCCTTTACATGTGGCAACATTTTAAACGGCCATGTAAAGGCTCTTCGAATTATCCACTTATTTCAATGCTTCCGCCCTTTTGCTACTGCATTTTAACTTCTCCTTGTAAAACCTTTGTTTAAAGTAGCTATTCGGAAAGTTCACTTCCTCCTTTCACAGTTAGCATAATTGCTAGTATACAACGCAAGAATCGATTGCTTTTAGGAAAGATTTATACTAGTTTAGTAAAAGTAGTTGAAACAGTTACTAACATTACTTATAAATTACATATATAGAGAAGCTCTCATGGCCAAAATGTCGTTTTGATCATGTCTACTTGGCATTGGAGCGGATTGCTACTTTATTAAAGCCTGACTGACTCAGAAATCTCTATGGCAGATTCTCCTGACTCAGAAATCTCTTTGGCAGATTCTCCTACATCTAGACCGACTCAGAAATCTCCATGGCAGATTCTCAAACATCTAGCTACCGGCTCAGAAATTTCTATGGCAGATTCTCCAACATCTAGCTAGGAATCAGAAATCTCTATGGCAGATTCTCCAACCTCTAGCTAGAGAACAGCTAAGCTATAGCTCAGCTATAAAGAAAACAGACGTGTAGCACGGAGCGCGTTTATATCTGTGGCAGATTCTCCTACATCTAGCTAGACTCCCAGAATAGCTAAGCTATAGTCCAGCTATAAGGGAAACTGACGTGTAGCACGAAATGCGTTTATTCGGTACGTATATTGCATATAAAGGAAACAGATGTTTAGCACGGAGCACGTTTATTCTACAGAGGATACAGACGTGTAGCACGGAACATTTATTCAGTAGCGGAAAACAGACGTGTAGCAAGGAATACGTTTATTCGATACGGGAAAACAGACGTGTAGCACGGAGCACGCTTATTCAGTACGGATTCAGACGTGTAGCACGGAGCACGTTTTTTCAGTACGGGTATCAGACGTGTAGCACGGAGCACGTCTATTCAGTGAGCATATTAGGACTTGTAGCACGGAGCACGCTCATTCAGTACGCATATTGCGGATCAAGTGTACACGCGGGGAGCTACTCATGATCAGGATGGGGGATTAGGTTAAACAGAGGTTACTTTATGATCACTGTTTGTACAGTCGCTGCACACAGAGTTGTAAGGCCGCACCTTTTTGTTTGTACGATCGCTGCACACAGAGTTATACGGCGCACCTCCCAATCCTGGCGAACTGCACACAAAGTTGTACGGCCGCACCTCCCAATCCTGGCATCTCCCAGTCCTGGCGTGCAGGCATGCGATGACGTGTCCCACAAGGCTTGTCCCGAGGTTATACGGCGCACCTCCCAATCCTGGCGAACTGCACACAAAGTTGTACGGCCGCACCTCCCAATCCTGGCATCTCCCAGTCCTGGCGTGCAGGCATGCGATGACGTGTCCCACAAGGCTTGTCCCGCAGAGTTCTAGTGATTGGCCACTGTTTGTACGGTCGCTGCACACAGAGTTGTGGCCGCACCTCCCAATCCTGGCGAGCAGACATGCATGCATAGATGACGCACACAGCGATAACGTGTCCCACAAGGTAGATATGTGCACACAGCGATAACGTGTCCCACATGTCTAAGCCAGCTAGATGACATGAGAGATGACCAATTGTTAGCGATAACGTGTCCCACAGCATCACGTTGTGGAAGTAACTTTTTGGACAATAATCCTTATTTCAGAAAAAATCAAGTTTAATTTTTCTTTCTGCTAGCTTGTCTAACATAGAGGTTTAAATAAATATTTAAAACCAATTAAGTTTAATACTCCAGTTGAAGCCACCATATTGAAAACGCTTTTCTATGCAGTAGTTGGGTGCAATGCTAAGTAGAGGAAGTAAGAAAACAATTCACTGAATTTCTGTAAACAGTAGGCATTTGCAAAAGTAGTACTTTAGTGATGCAGTGTCACATTTCAACACTCACCTGTTTCCCGAGTTAGGTGCTATCACTTCTCCTTACTGTGACAGAATGAAATATATTTGCAATTTATGTAATGGAAGGAAATTCAAATATGGATTACCTGGGGGAATAGTAGAGGAGAATTATTTAATATCTATTTATTTATATCAAATGGCAGGCGTTTTGATGGTTATCATTAGCCCTTTAATTGACTTCAGGCTTCACAGAGGGGAAGGAACATCAAATTGAAAAAAGTCGAGAGGGGGAGGGAGGAAGAGAAGAGTGTTTCAAAGACGAAGGTTGAAAATTTAGAAAATTTGTGATGTAGTACTGTGGAAGTGGTCGAATATGACATACAATGGGGTCAGAGGTCAACTGCCGGTTAATAGACTTTTTTGCCGTATGAGTATACGTTGCCCAGGGTGCACCACGTGGAGGTAAGTCTATCACACACCCCGAATTATTTAATATTAAGTGACTAAAACTAAACGCTGGATTTTACTACGGCTTGCTCTCATGCTCCAAACTCCAAACTTCCCTATTTGACCTTTCGAGTTAGCAACAGAGGAAGTATGACAATTGTTACGATTATAAGCAAATGGACCTGAATGACCTGCTCGCTTACTTAGAAATTTAACCCCCTCCCCCAAAATAAATCCCACCTAACTATTCTAGAGAAGATAGTTCTGGAATATTTTAAACGACGTTTAAGTTTCAATTTAATTAACTTAGTAAGCGTCATTGAGCACTTGAATAGAAAATTTCGATATTGAAAGCAGCTGTTTGGCTGAAGAAACATTCATTTAATTGAAAGCCATGCTGGATTTTCATTTAACATGTACCTCGCAGCAATGCAAATAGTCAATTGAAAAATCTATTTAAATTTTGTTTTTGCTTAAAATTATAGAAAAGGCGTTTAGGAGTAAAACTTAAATAAATAGAGTACTAGCTGTCGAAATTGTCAGAAGTGATTTATCACCCAAGTGGAATATAACATTTTTTTGCAAATTTCACCTGTTGCCAGCTGTTTAATGCCTAGCAATACCACCCATCACTGAATCACTTCCGGAAAAACTTCATAGAGATAAATAAACGCATAAAATTGTCAATACCTTATACTTTTCCATCTTATTTTGCCTTTAGTTAACTTCATCATACTTCGAGTTTAGTTCATGACATATAAATAACTAATTGGAGTATAACCAGACACATTCGATTAAGATAAAGTCTGGTAAAATGATTAACCGATGCTATATTTTGAAAATGAAACGCGCTAGTTGTCTGCATGGAAGTTCACATAATTTATTACCATATCTGCACTCGAACAGCTGATTACTGAACATAGCAGTGCACCGTTAAGTTGTCCAGTCATTGAATATTAAAAAAACGCCATACAATTATTTAAAGCTACCTCACATTTACCATTTCTTAGCATTGGCCATACCAGATTGAGGCAACTTTTTAATAGTTGTACTCATGTCAAACACCTAATAAGATGTTAGAGAAGTCGGAGATGAAAAGAAAGCATCATTACATGTCGTTTGAATTCAAAAAGCATTATGATTTTCACATTCCCACGAAGCATATCTCCTAAGTTGCACTGATTCAATGCTTGAATTTGAAAAATTGTTTTCCAACTATTAGAGTGAGACTATGCTCTGTGTTGAGTACGTTTCCGCCTCATTTACAGCTTGTTAATGGGATAATTCAAATAGACACTGGTCATCCCCGTTACAAGCAAGGTGGGTTAAATGATTTAAGTTTAAATTTCTTTTACTAGAATTCGCCTTAATTCAGCGTTCAATACTACCTCTAATAATTTCTTTTAAGAGTTTCAAATTACTTTCAGCGATTTCGTTTCACGATTTTGATTAACGGATAGACGGAAGGAGTATTTCATTATAAAGTGGACATTTCCAGACTGTCTAATTGAGAAAAATGTTTCAAATGGTATTGGCAACAAGATGTATTTGAAGGGAGAGCAATCAGTTTACAAACACTTTTGCCTCTGTACCTTCCGTTGGAATTGAATGGAAATTGAGTACTCAATGCAAATCGGTTTTTCCTCAACTCCTCATAAATATGCAATTTTAAATTTGAATCGAATTGTTCAGGGTCTGACGTGTGCCTACATAATTTCATAAATGCACTCACATGTACAAATTAAATTACGTATTCATTTATAAATGTTTATATTCAAGTTCTTAAAAAATTAATTCTCATGATTGCCTTGGCGCGTTTGTGTAAAATCAGCTTAAAATTTTTATTATTACGGCGGAACAGCAACAGCAGTATTGATCAAGTTACAGAAACCTTCTGCGGGTGCAAGTTGGATTAATTATAGAAAGTGATCAAACATTCTAACTCAATAAGCTATATTTTTGGTACTTTCTGGTTTTAAGCCTATCCTCTTCAGGTAGAAACTTATGGAATATTTGTAGAATTCACGTTTCTCACTCTTCCTTCACAAGATAAACGTAGGAAAACTGTTTCCCATAGGAGTGGACTTAATGAACTTATTAGAATGTCACAAATGAACTCAAACTTCATATGACAATTCCTGCATGTAAACTTATAATATTAACCTTTCATTTTCAGGAGCCCACAAAACAATCGCTGTTAGCGTTTTCAGAGGAGATGCTCAAAGTGCACAATCGCTATCGTCGAGTACACGACGCGCCAGATCTCGTGCTCAGTGGAGTGAGTTCTACTCAGTCGCGTTTTTCTCCACCCCCCTTTTTTTAATTGCCTGACCCGCCAACTCATTTCCCCTCGCTGATTTTGTTTTTAATTTTGGCTGAAAATCCTCCACGAACTAATTGATTTTCCCAGAATTTTAGAGTTACTGAAAAACTCATTAGTAGACTCAACGCTTTTCAAATAATCAGTGGTAAATAATTATATCCACAACGCAGCTCTTGATGTTGAATAGGGTCAATTAAACTTAGGAATTGCTGTCGATTTCAAATATTTTGTATTTATAATATCATTTTCACTCTATAGAATTAAAAGTTATATAAATTATTAAACGTTTAAGATTGGAGACCGTTAGTTTATCACCAGCCGCAAGGCTTTTGCTTATTAATTTTAATTTGATCATCTGTTGATAAGCAAAATATTTTTTAGACACGATTGTAACCACAAGTTATTTAAAATATTTGGCTACTTGAAGAGAAGAAAAAAACTATCAAAGTGATGCAACTAGCGGTTTAATTTAATCAATCAGTCAAGATGCCATGAGATCAGGGAAGACTGAGTTGAGATTCCTGACTTTAGAAGAGTAGATAAGTAGATTTGAAATGCTAATATGCAAAGACTCACAGTGTCTCTATTACACTTCTCAATTCCTTTTCACAGCATTTGTTTTAATTAATAAATCTACGGTTCTTTGTAATCACGCCTATGAAATAAGTCATTTTCTTTGCTAAATATACTGTAATGTTGTGCGATAAATTCTATCACATTCCATTAAATTGCTTACATTAATGTCAACTGGATTTTGAGGGAGTTAGGGCAATTAATTCTTTCCGGCGGGTGGGGATAAATGTCAATACGCAACACCCCACCCCCCACCCCCGCCCCCAAACCCCACCCCTTTCGGTAGCATGTTTTATGAAATGCTCTTAAGCGGTGCAGAAATTATGACAGAAATAGCAAGATTAGTGTCTGTCGATAAGTTTTTTCATTAATTTACCTTTCTGTGCGCCATGTATATTGTAAACCTCCAAATTAATAGCTTTTATGGTCGAAATTAATTTATAATTTATGCATCAAGAGGAAGTTGAAGCTGTATCGGCAACGAAAATTCCTTTTAATTTAATAGTCTTAAAATACATGAGGGCTTCAGTAGATAAATTTGTTAAGTGCAAAATGCTGAACAGTATTATCAATAATTTTTCCCGGGAAAATATGGATTGCACTTTTATGGATAGTTTTAAATTTAAAATATTAAATAATTTCAAAATCAGACAACCCCTGGAGCTCAATGCATGTTCTGTTGAAGGATTCAAATGTAAGAAAATTTGAAAATGGGAGAGTTTTTATGAAATATTATATAGACTCTCCCTAAGGTCATGCAGCAAATCCAACTAGTTTTCCAGACGATCTAGAAAAAAATATACTTAAAATAAGGCAAAATCAGACTGTAATTGTATATAATGTCTGGTTTTAGAAGGATGGTTATATTTATAAAGCATTTAACTAAATAATGAATATCTATCTCATCAATTATTTCAAATATTAGTAAATTGATAACATTTGATTCCAATATATCACAAAAAATCCATATGAAACTGATATTTAGATTATTATTTTTTATCATTCTCTTAACATCGATGTATACAAATATCCTCGACAGAGCATATTTAGACAGATATAGAAATTCCTTAATAGCCTCAATTTAGATTGAAAAGAACATTTTGTTTTATGGTGCATAGTGCTATAGCTGCTGCTAAAGTGCAAATAAGTCAACCTGAGTGCTCTCTCAATTTACTTGCTCAATTTACAATCTTCTTAAAATATCATTGCATTTATCCTGTACACTAATAATGCTACGAACAAAGTTTACTGGTGAATAGAGTAGGCAACGATTGTTAATATCTTCATATAAATTGTCAAACCAAAACGCCCTTAAAAAAATCACGACTTTTAAATGATAGAGCCAAGAGGTGGTTGTGGGAACATTTGGACTTCAGTTTCAAAGTTGTGAACTCTTATTCCGTCCATTTTAGCGTCTTAATGCGATGGCGCAGGAATGGGCTGAATTCCTCGTGGATGAAATTTGCCTTTCAAACAGCGGTTTTACTTTAGATGGACTTCGACTTGGTGAGAATATTTCAAGTCGTTGGTCGAATGGTGAATTAGAGGAGTCCGGTAAAGTTTTGTTCTGTTCATTAATTCTTGTTTCCTAAAAATCAGTGTGCCTATTTCAAGATCACCATAAAGGAACTGAAAGTTGTATAAAAATTTTCCAGGCTAATAAAATTACTAGATTTCTAATAAGGAAATGACAATTTGATTATCCTATTAAATAAAATGAACGAAATAATTTTTCCATTATTTCTTACTGCTAATTTTTAAGACGAAGGAAACTGATTTCTTAACTAAAACAGTTTTCAACACAAACTGTTAAATTATATTTTAAAACTGGCTGATATTTGTATTTAACGCTAAAAGCACTTTTACGCTAAATTTAAGACGATTATTATCTGAAGTAAAGAAAAATTAATAGCATAAGGCGGTCAATTGCATTTTCATCAC